AAGAGAATTAACAGAAGCAGAGGGATAAGCAGATTCACGAGGAAGGTAACGAATACCTAACTTTTGTTCTAGCACTTTTATAATTGATGTTGCAATTTGGGTTTTGTGGGTTAGATCATGGGGTTTGGGGGTTTGATCACCACCAGAGATTAGGCTTGTGATGGCGGTGACATAGGTTTTATTTCGGCGCTAGGGTTTTATGTTGTGGGAGGAGAAGAGAAAATGGGTGAGGCGCAAAGAGAGAGAAGTGGATAAACAGAAATAATGAAACAATATTGTTTTGTAAAGTGAAAAATATAATGTCGTTGAGATCCAGTACGCACGGGTCCATGAATGTTACCATACTCCCTCCATCACGTCCATGTGATCTAGATCCAACATCTCTCACACGCGTGTCCATAGCCTTATGATATACCCCCACACGGAGTCCAAGCGGACCCCTAACCTTTTGGGCTAGGCCCAATTACTACCCACACACCCCTCTGTTTTATTTTTGCTAACCAATGCATTAACCGTACCCCTCTTTGGCTTGTTGGGCCAAGTCTAAAATCTAGACTTGGGCCCTACTTCTCACACCCTCCATTTTACTGCATGGATAAAAAACATACCCCATATATTTTGGGCCTGAATTCAATATCTGAATTCAGACCCATGCTATTAACACCTCCCTAATTTCCTAGTCTAATGTAATTCACCCCCTGCATTTTTAATTTATTTATTTTATTTTATTATTTTATTATTTTATATTTTCTATTTTTATATATTATAATTTTAACATATATTTTTTATTATAAATCTAATATATTATTTTCCAATCCATAAAAAATATTATTTATTTTATTTGCATTAAATTATCTTTTAATCATGCATTTTAAATAAGATATTTTTTATAATTAATACATAAAAATACTTAACCAACCACAAGTTATTTTCGTAAATTAAATTAATTCAATAATTATTTTTCGAAAAGGATTACGAAGCATATTTTAATTAATTGCGCACTTAGTCCAAAATCTCCCCTCTTCACACACTCGATCTAAGTACGGGGGAATTAAAATATTTGCATAATCCATAAAAAAAATACAAACCCTACGAACTACGAATTGGGACTATGATTCCTCATAAGAGGATACGTAGGCATACAAAGAAAATTATGGCGAGTTCCCCTAATAAAACATTAAAACCCTATTTCCTAAAAATCACGCTTCTAAACCTAGTATGCTTGTGAACAAGATAGATGAAGGGTGCCTAACACCTTTCCTTTGTCTAGAACCGAGTCAACAACCTAGGATCTCTGACTTATTTAGGGTTATCCTTTATATTCCATTCCTTAGGATAAAAAAATAAAGGTGACGACTCTGATTTGAAAACCAGTTACAACACGTGTTACAGTTGAAGTAAAGGTTCTGAATCTATCTTTTGCGACATGTCTAAGGAACGTTAGTACAAGAGGTTCTGATCATGGCTTTGTGGTTAACCTTTGGAAGCCTTCTAAAGCTTTACTTTTGTGTTACAAAGTTCTGAAGATTATAAAGATGACGTTCTGCTGAACAAGTTCTAATGATCTGAAGAAAAGCAAGTTCTTACAACCAAGTGCTGAAGACTCTAAAGTCAAGGTTCTGTGTGACAAGTTCTGAAGACTCTAAGACTTAGGTTCTAAGACTTAAATAAGGATTCTTCTACAAAAAGGTTCAACGTTCAACATTCAAATATCTGAAGCCATTGAAGATAAGAATAAAAGTTCAAAATGGTTAACGTGTGATAGTGTTCAAAAGGTACATAATGTGTCTATGACCTCTACCCTTCTAGAGTGGCGCAAGGACAATCCCTTTGTACTTGACTGTGACTACTCTCATTATAACCGTTGAAAACCAACAACCCGATTTCTTATTTACCTTTCTACCCTTTCAATGGATCTCTTTTACAATCTATAAAAGGAAGACTTGGAAGCTGAAGAAAAGTAAGAAAAACACTACAACGACAAATTTATTCGTTCAAATCAAGCTCAATAAAACTACACCAAAGCGCTGTGCAAACTCTATAGAGAAATCATCTGTGTATAGTTTTGTAAATAAGCAAGGAGTTGTTGCTTGTATCTTACATTAGAACACTTAGGTGTTTTTCATTGTACTAAAAAGTCTGTGTAATCTACTTATAAGAAGGAAATTTGTAATACACTGAAAGTACTCAACTGTTATTGAATGATATCTTGAAAGACTGAGTGAAGGTTTGATCTCAAGAAGACTCCTACTGCGGCTTGAGTGGGTTTACAATAAGGATCGACAGACTTATTGGGGGTGCCAATATGGTTAATCAGACTTATTGTGAGTTGTTCTATAATAAGTTTGGTTATAGTGAATTAAGTCTTTATTGAAGGCGAAATCATCCTTGAGGGGGTGGACTGGAGTAGCTTAGTTAACATCGAACCATGATAAAAATTGTCGTGTTTATTTACTGTTATTTTCTAAGCTAACTTGTTCTGTCACCAACGAAAACATTTAATTTGGTGAAACCCAATTCAAACTCCCATTTCTTGTGTTTCTCACACCTTCAACATCTACAAAAAATCAAGTGTTATTTTTTCATCAAAAAGTCATCCAAAACCTACCAAATATACATCGAATAAATTATTAAAATTCATGAAAATCCCTTATAAATCATAAGCATACAAGATCCACAATCAATTTAACAAAATAATAAAATTTCACATTGTAGGTCGCGCTAAGCCTACTCTTTGGCGCTAAGCGCCCTCAATTCAGTAGCTTTTGTGCTAAGCACGGAAATCTGCGCTAAGTGCACTATGTGAATTCTGCAAAACGAAATCTACGAAGACAACATCACATCAGTCCGAGTTTTAACTCCAAAAAGACATTTTATCACCCACATTTCTATGATTTATGGTATTAAGATACATATCTAACATGTAGTTTCTATTTAGAACATCCAAACATGATTCAAACATCAATTTCATAGATTCCCCTCAAAATCCTAACATGTTAAAATCTAGAAATGGAAGAACAAAATCCTTAAATCATGTAGCTACCCATTATAAACATCATATAATCCCATAATCAAATGAAAATCCACCCTTACCTTGCATGTAGATCCTTATCTATGGTTTTATCTTCTTCTCTTCTCTTTTCACCCTTTTCTCCTCTTTTCCTCTTCTCTTCTCTTCTCTTGTTTTTTACAACTTCTCTCTTACTAACTATATTTTTCTTGTTTTATCAAAACATATGTTTCACTAATAGGTTTAATGTCTCAATCTCATACTAACCCATCATACCAAGGCCCAATTAATTGTTTTGTTATTCTCATACTTACTAACCCAATACACACATAACACATTTATTCGCAAAATCAAACAATTAATTAATTACTATATTAAATAATAATTAATAAAATAAATAACTAATAAATAAAAAATCAGGGTGTTACATATTGTATTAGAAAGGTCTTAGGGTTAGTGTTCTTGTGTTGTGTGCCGAGTAAACATTGTGTCTTAGTAAATATACTAGGACTGTTTGTGTCAATTGTGAGCCTCTCAATTATCATTTTGGTAAAAGAGTAAGACTTTGTTTTGAGTTGTAAGTTATGTCAGTCATTCCAAAGCTTTTAAGTAGTGAATTATTGTGTGTCTTTGAAGTGTGACTTCTGTTATTTTCCAAGTGTTTAGAATTATTCAGTCATTGTTCGGTGATTTGAAGAGATTTGAGAAGTATCTCATACCTAGGTGAGTCTTAGGTAGAAGTTAAGTAAGAATAGTGATTAAGTGAGAAGTTGTAAATAGAGGAGTTTAGCTTCAAAATAATATTATCTAGTTGATTTTGTCTCTGGCTTGGCAGCCCCTAAAACAGGTGTTGTTGTACATCGAACTGAGTTAACAATCTTGTGTGTTCTTTATTTTTCTGCACTTTATTTATCGCTTATCTTATTATTGGATATTTGTTCAGAAAAAAAATATCTCGACATCTCTTAAAACATATGAGATCTACATACCACAATTTCAAAAAATACTAACATCACCCCTCAAATCAAAATGTTTAGATCAATACCATTTCATTAAGGTTTTATTTGGAAGAAATTACAATAAGTGTCAATTTGATATGCATGATATGATAGAGATATAATAAAAAGTAGGATAAAAATAGAATATGATAAAAAGTAGGATAAAAATAGAATATGATAACAAATAAAAACAAATGATATCATTGCTATATCGTTCCATATATTTGCATCCTTTTTTTATAATAACATGATAAGATATCCATACCCTTATAAAGTTAGCTTGAAAATTTTGAAATTAATTTTAATATTAAAAAATTTAAATTATTTAAAACTTAAATGCATAATAAAAATATTCAAATTATTTACATATATATTCTATGTATATAATAAAAATACAATTACAGGAAAATTATATATAATTAAAAAAAAAATTTATATTTAAAAATTATTGTAATCTTTATTAATTATTTATTTAATTAAATATTAATTATTTTCTGTATTTTTCATTTGATTTCATTTTTTTATAATTTAAATAAAATTAAATTGGTAATTTATTTTTTTATCACATCCAACTAATTTCTAATTCATAACATATTTTGAAAACAAAAAATTCTTATTAAAAAAAAAGAGTATAAATTTTAAAATAGATTTATCATACTAATAATATTGTTTCTATAAAACATAATACTAACAAGTATCGTTAAAATTTCAATCCAAAAGAAAAGTATTGTTAAATTATTTATATTTAGATTTACAAACTCGATAAATATATATACAAAAGCACTTTAATCAGAAAAAAGTTTTTTTTTTGTTGTCGGGCCAAAACTCAACGCCTTTGGGTGAATAATAGTTGAAAAATACTTTACTATATTTGACCTAATTTCTTTATAAACAAACCTGAGGTCTAACCTGAGATCATAAACCTGAGGTCGTGTATATTCAATTCATCACAATTCTCAAGATTTCTTCTTACATTAGTCTAACATTCTCCCATGACTTGTATCCCAAGAAATATGCATACTATCCGTTTCTTCAAGATTGTTACTTCAACAAATATTCAAGATGGTAACATTGTAAGCACTCTTTCTTTTGAATTTTTTTAATACTCAGCTTAAAACTTGTCAAAATTAAAATAGGTTAAGGTATATATTCTTATATGAGTGCATGATCTATTCACACCCCTAATTATTTAGAGTTAAGATTTTTTTATTTATAATTATTTCTCCCAATGTATGCTAACATAAAGTTCGATGTATCGCAGAGAATTCCAAATGCTTTCACTCAAAAATATATTAGTGATTTGTCGACTATAATGTTTCTCAAGACTCTTGATGACAAAGAATGGGAAATACATTTGACTAAAATGAATGATGATATTTGGATTAACAAGGGTTGGAAGGAATTCGCGACACATTATTCGTTAGATCATGGACATATGCTGATGTTTAAATTCGAAAAAACCTCTCATTTTGAAGTGCATATATTCGACAAGAGTACCCTTGAAATTGAATATCGTGTTTATGGTAATAATCAACAAGAATGTAACGACACAATTGGAAACTTGAATGAGAAAAATTCATGCAACAAGACTAGACCAAAACCACAAGTTTCAAGTTCTCAATCACATAAGAAATTGAGAATCGACACAAATGAAGAAGTTGGAAGAAGTTCGAAATTGCAGAACTGGCCTAAACTTGTCCAAGTTAAAGGTATACATATAATTCATGATTAATCTCTATCATTTCATTTATACAATTTAGATTTTTTACTATGAGAATGATTTTTCATAACCAATATATAGCACCGACGCTGAAAAAAGTGTGTCTGCGTATGTGTCCAAGACTTGTGAATTATATGTAATTTATTCAATTTTTTAAATTATTACTGGTGTTGACATGTCACTGTCGGTGTTATCAGTTATGTTTCTGGTGTCTGTGCTTCATATTTCATAACATATCATGTCTAATTTCTCAGAAGAGAAGATGATTCCACCGAGAATGCGTAAATGTGAAGCATTATCAGGAGCAGAAGAATTTTACTTCTAAAATTGAAAAAGCTTTGATCAGAGCCAGAAACTACAAATCTGAAAATCCCATTTTCATTGTTGTCATGACATCTTCCTATACTAATCAATATATAGTGAGTCTTAGAATATATATCTAATGTTAAGACAATTTCATATTTTTTTAGTTGCTTTATTTTCTAACTTGTTACAAAAATTGAAATCCAGTATGTCCCTTTCGATTTCGAACTAAAGTATTTGAAGAAAAATCAAAGCGATATGGTCCTTCGGGTCTTGGATGACGATAGAACTTGGATTGTTAAATATTGTGAAAGAAGAATTAGTTCTGGATGGAGAATATTTGCATCTGATAATAATTTGAAAGTGGGAGATGTTTGTCTTTTCGAGATGATCAATTACGAAGCCTATGTTTTTCGAGTACTAGTTTTTCGAGTTGACGAATCAGTTCACGGAGATCGAATTAATTCGGTAGGAATCGCAAGAATCTCAAAAGTTGAAAGTAAACCTATTGTTTTACATAGAGGTAAATCTTTTAGCATCAATGTTGTATTGTCAAATCACACTAATATCACCGCTAATTCGCTATAGCCTATCTGTATTTGAACTAATCACTATTTGAAATTCTGGCTGCAGATACTCAATGTCACGTTCAATGTTATGACACCGTATCTGACTTTTTATAAGACAGTAAATACAAAAACAGTAAAGAACACAGTCAATTGTTTACCCAGTTCAGTGTGTAACAACACCTACTCTGGGGGCTACCAAGCCAGAGAGGAAATCCACTATAAGAGATATTAATTCAGGAATAAACCAACCAGTTTATCTCCTTCACTTAAGACCTACCCAATGCAACTTCAATCTAAGTACAACTTAAACCTGAGTTCCTACTCACTCCCCCTCAATCACAGCAGTGATACATAAAAACAATTTGACTAATGAATTGTTGAAGACACTCTTCAAAACATACACTTGATTATGCTTCACAGCTTTTTAATCAAGCAACACAAACACTCTTGCTTCACAGCTTTGAGTGATACACAAACCTAACTTGACTTTGCTTCACAGCTTTAGTCAAGAGACATACAAATACTCTTGCTTCAAAGCTTTGAGTATTACACAACCCTTACAATTAAAACCTATTCCAAGTCACTTATCACAATGATAATTGCTTGGATTACAATAGTAAAAACTATACAGCTTCTAAATGATCTTCTGTCAAAAAGGGATTCCATTCAAAACAGCAGCCCTGTTGAATATATAGCAGTTGCAACTTCAGTTAGGGTTTTCACAAAAAGCTAGGGTTAATTCCGTTTGACCTTAAGACTAGGTCACAGGACTTTATCAACCAGGTTGGGGTTGATCTAGGTTAACCCAAAGAAAACGCAGGATTCTGTTCTGGAAAGACTGAGTCATTTTCCTGAAAAAACTCAGAATTAACCAAACTGCATACCTGTTAGTTCAGAACAGGATGTCTTAACATCTGTTATGACATCTGAAAACATGTCTACTGATTTAGGTAAATGTGATCATTTTGCAAAATGCTCAGATACACACTTATAAACATCAGTACCTGTATGACAATATTTTTCTGCAAAGGTACCTAATGAATCAGTACATACTAAACTAGAATGTTATGACATCAGTCATGCCATTCACACATACACTTGGGTTTTACCAAAAATGCAAGCCAATAACTAAACAACTACAAACTCCCCCTTTGGCAGATTTTTGGCTAAAGACCCTAAGCAATCAGAGATAGATAGCAGCAGAAAGAAATGACTGTAGAAAAATAGAATGTCTAATTAAGTACCAAAATATATCTCCCCCTCTTTAGCCACAAATGGGCCAAAGATATATGTTCTTAAAAGTTATACAGTCATCCAAAAAAAGTAATGAGAGTAGAACTAAAAACTGAACACACTTCCAAACTCTACCAGGTACCAGCACCAACTCCACCAACCTTTAAGCACTGTCATCAGACTCAGAGGAGCTAGTTTCTTCAGTATTGAGATGACCTTCAGCTTCTACACCCTCTTCCCTTCTGTTTCCTTCAGCTTCCTCCTTTTCTAACCTGGCAATTAGGTTTTCTAGGGTCTTTTTCCTAGCTTCCAGTTCTTTTCAGGTCTCTTTTAAGACAGCTATGACATCAGATGTTTTGGACTGGGTCTTCACAGACGATGTCTCAGCTGATGTTATGACAATATCAGGAGCATGAGATCCCTGAAACAGTTTGTAGTGCAACCCAAGGGCAGGAGCTCTTTTGCAAGCAGTATCTCTTGCCACCAGGATATCAGGGTATTGTGCAAGGATAATTCCACAAAGGAGGGAGGGAAAGGCAATTGGTCCTTTGACAGCATAACTACCAGCATGTTTTAAAGTTTGTTCAAAAATATACCTGCCATAGTCAAAAGCAGTCTTGGTTCCCACAGCATAAATAAATCTCCCCAATCCTGTGGAGATAGTTGATTTATGGTTTGTAGGGACCCAGTTTGCTGCACCAATCTTGTGCAGGATGGCAAATTTCATGCTAAGTTTGCTGGCATTCAGCTTGCCTTTCAAGGGCCAGCACTTCACTTGCCTTGCTGTGATGGTTTGACAAACTTCATTGTCAGTGACTTCCAGATCAGGACAATCCTCATTTGATCTTCCAAGAAATTTGTTAATTTCTGATGGAGAGAAATTAACCCTTCTTCCTCTAACAAAAACACTTTCAAAGTCAGCTGACCTTCCATCAGCACAATCATTAGACAAGTTAACTATGAACTCCTTGACCAGATTTTCATAACACTTGTTAAATTTCATCACTGTATTCATCAGTCCAGCATTCTTGATCAGGTCCATGATGTCTTTGCACTCCATGGCATCATTGTTTAGCTCTCTTTCTAAAGCTATTCTCTTCAAGCAAACATACTTCCATCTGTTTGCATTGTCAGGATGATGAAAAGAGATGTTGTCTGTTGGGACTTCAGGAACTCTAGCAATTTTGCTGGAGGGGAGCTTCCTTCTGATAGGAATTTCTTCAGCATCAATCTCAAACTCTGATTCCTCATCAGAATCAGAAGATTCAGGTTCTTTTCTCTTCTTTGAAATTGGTTGTCTATCAGTATGCACCTGGGCTTTCACCTTCCCTTTGGACTGAACAGTTTTCGCAGATTCTACCCCAGCCATGCCTTCAGCCTTGGATTTCTTATTAGCAGGTTTATCTTTTGTCAAACATTTTCCAACATTCTGATTATTATTCCTTTTCATCATTCTCCTAGCTATGCTAGGGTTTACATTGGCAATCAGATCATTGTCTGAGTATTCCTCATCCACATCAATGATAGGTGGATCAGCAGTCTTTTCTGAAGGGTTCTGAATGTTGTCATTTTGTGTCATAACATTCTCAGAGACATCTACATTCTCAGAGACATCCACATTTGGGCTTCCTGATTGATTTAAAGGGACAGAAATCCCCGATACAGATTGGTTTCCGCTTAGTATACTTGTCACTAGCCTAGCAATTGCTTGATGAACTTGAACTGATCCTTCTCTATTTGATACAGAAGAAGAAGGATGAGAAGGATTACCAGAGGCAGCAGCTTGAGCTCTTCCTGCATGTCTAGTTCTCAGCTTTTTGACTTTGGCGGGGTCAGTAGCCATCTCTCTGAGAGGAGTGATCTCAAGAACTTCAGATTCTATGCATGTGGTGATTGCTCGAGAGTCTTGGTCAGATGATGAAGATGATGAAGATGAAGAGGTCGCCTTGGTTGAAGATGATGTTTGAGACATTTTGATTGACTTAGAGCACCAGTAGCAGTTTGAGAAAAAACTTTGATTGAGAGAAGGGAACAGGTTGCAAAGACGAGAGAGGTAGGAGGCAAAAGAGAGTCTTTTCAACTTCTTAAAGATTTTGAAAGAATTGGGAAAACATATGATTAACCCACTAAAATTAGACTTAACAAAATTAACTCCTTCAACCCTTGTTTTAAGCAAAATTAATTGCTACAATTTCTCATGTTGGCAAATACCCAACCTGCCCCTCAAGTTTTCAAGTTTATTTCCAACAAGAGCCTTGGTAGAAGAATCAACCAGCTGAAGCTTAATGATACCATGTTCCAGTTTAATTGACTTCTTCTCAACAAAGTCAATGTGCTTGGTCCTGCTATGCTGAATAGGGTTCATGGAAATATTGATTGTATCCAGATTGTCACAATACAATGTCACAACATCTTGTGAGACATTATACTCAGTGAGCATCTGCTTTGTCCAGATATTTTGAGAACAGTTACTACTAGCTGCAACCATTTCAGCACAAAGTTGGGAAGACATTCTTTTGACATGAATCATAGTTCTGGTTGATTCTTGAATGATCTTATTTTTCTCTTTGTCAACTCCATTTTGATGGTGAGTTATAGGAGAAGAGACTTCACAACTCATTTCTTCTGGGAAACAGAATTTATTAGACTTGTTGTTTCCAAAATCCTTGTCATGATTACTTCTGGTTCTGACAACACATCCTTCTTCAATTTTATCCACCACATCATAGACATGTTTCTTTTTACCAAGCCTTTCAATTTTAAGTTCACCACAAACCCTTCTTTTATCAATCTGTAGTCTTGGAGTCCTTCTGACTGCTTCCATAGAGATAGCTCTTTTCATTCTTCTTAGATGAAGATGACCAAGCTTATGGTGCCACAGTTTCATCTCTTTTTCTTCTTTGGTAATTGGACACATAGTGGAGTTATTAGTGTTCTCAGGCTGCCACAAGTAACAATTATCTTTGGATCTGACTCCTTTCATTACAATTTCTTGTTTTTCATTGATTACAAGACATTCAGATTTTGAGAAATTGACCTTGAATCCTAGATCACACAGTTGACTGATACTAATGAGATTAGCAGTCAGCCCTTTTACCAGCAATACTTCACTCAGACTTGGAACTTCAGGGCAGTCCAAATTACCAACTCCTTTGATTTCACCTTTAGCACCATCTCCAAAGGTCACATAACTAGTGTTGTGAGGTTTAACATGATTGAGAATGTTCTTTATTCCAGTCATGTGTTTAGAACACCCACTGTCAAAGTACCAGCCTTCCTTTGCAGACACTCTCAGGGAAGTATGGGCTATCAGGGCAGTAGCCTTTTTCTTCCATTGAGGAGTATGTGGTACCTTTTTAGACTTAGGTTTGACACCTGAGTTTTGATTGGGGTATCCATGCAATCTGAAGCAGAAGGGCTTTATGTGGTCATATCTCCCACAATGATGACATCTCCATCTTTGGTACCTTTTCTTCATATGTCTCTGTTCCTGATGTTGAGAGTTGTGTTGAGACATCTGTTTTGACATTTGCTTATCAGGCCTGATCTTCTTATCTGTACCAGAGTTCTTTGCTTCCACAAATCCTAGTCCAGATTTGTTTCCCACATTTTGTCCAACCTGAAGAATCTCTTCCAATTTATCTGTTCCATTAGACAGCATCTTGACATATTTGGTCATTTGGTTCAGTTGTGAGTTCAGCAATTGAACTTCCCCTTCTAGATGACTTATAGTTTCAAGATCTGCCCTTTTTTCAGCCTCCAGCTTTATGATGAGTTTTGCTTGTT